TTTTAAAAAATAAAATAACAAGAGTGAAATTCGAATTTTAAACTTATCAAGAGAAGAAATTGCACCTTCAAAGTAATCAAATAACACAGCGGAAGGAGGAAGATAAGGTTTAAAATCCAGAATGAGTAAGACTATCATGAACCTATAAAAAAAACAAAAACATAATGTTGCCCGCAAAACTTGAATTGCTGCTGCAGATACATTATTAATTTATTGGAGCAATTGTTTGGAAAAAGTCACATAAACGACAAAATTTTATATACAAATAAGGTGAGGAATCACATAAAATAAATATGATGAAAAACATTTAAAAAATAAATACGTAAATGTTTTCTACGGTTATATGGTAATAGATGAAATAAATAAATCAATACAAATGAAATAAATAAATCAATACAAATGAAATAAATAAATCAATACAAATGAAATAAATAAAATTTATTTTACGTAGCAGTAGGTATATCAAGAAAGTTTTGGATCAAATTTGAGTCCACTCTCACCGGCACCGTCAAGGGACAAAGGAAGAAGAGGTGAGCTGAGCTGAGCTGAGTTTTTAATTCCGTGTGCTTTAGCTCTTCTAGCTATACAATTCTTTTGGTATTTGGAGTTCGGAGCTCTCTTTAGGTTTCCTGCTCCTCTCTTCTCTCTCCTTGCAAAAACATCCAATCAATCCTCTTTTTAACTTGGCTTAACAGTTCTTCTTCTCTATCAAGCAAGGTACTTATTTCCTTTTTCCCCTTTATCAATTCAGTTCTGCTTTTATCAATGCTTGGATTGTTTTGATTTCTTCATTTGAGATTTTTGGCTTGTGGGTGTTGCTTGTTTTATTGATTTTCGATTCTTTTGGGGTCGATCCCTGATAATTGAATTGGGTTTGTATCCTTTTTACTCTTTTCAATTGCGGGATTTCTGTTATCCTTCTCGGGAGGAATTGGTTTTTGATGGATGATTGTTAGTGTGCAGTTTGTTTGATTCCAGAGAAGGGGGAGAACAATAGTCGTTTATTGTTTCTTCAATGGGTCCACGTTTGGTTGTTGAATCTATGTTCCTTTCTACTAAAGGAAAGAACTTTCCCAGTTTTCCTTCATCTGTTATGAGTAACGCATGAAAAAATTGTCTCTTTCCATTATCAGAAAAATAAGGTAAATTTTGAAAAAGCAATTTTCTATCAATAAATTCGTGTAATGACATTATAGTTGTTTTTTCTTTTTTTCTTTTTTTCTTTTTTTCTTTTTAATGGTGCAATCTCATTAAAAAAATTAATGGTAATGATGTAAGCTACTCTGTTTGGCTAGTGGTAATTCAACTTCTATATTTGTTTGTTGAAGGGAAACTTTTGCCCGTTGGAGATGTTGGTGTTAGTTATATTTGATTTAGTAGTGGCATTGTGAGATCCGTACTAGTTACTTCAGTTGACTGCTTTGCTACAAGAATGTTATTGCTTGATTATCTTTGTTTAGATTTTCTTGTGTTCTGTTTTGCAGGTAGAGGAACCTCCTAGAAACAAGCTCTTTGCAGAAATTACGAAAGGGTATTCAGAATTTATATATTTGAGAGAGAGAGGGTACTGGTTTGCAGGGGCAGTGGGACTTCTGCGAGCTTAGCGTCTTCTCTCATTGTCTCTGTATTACACTTATTGTCTCAAGAAGTTTGTTCTTGCTGCACTTCCTTAGCCTGGTTGAGCCTTATTTATGAGATTTTTTTGAGGGGATTTAGGTATAAGCAAGGAATTGAAGTTAGACAATATGGGGGCTGTTTGTTGCTGCCTGCATTCAGAAGATGATTATATGAATCCCAACAATTTGGTGTGTGGGAACTGTGTGTGTCTCAGTTGTTTTGTTCAGAACTTCTTAACTGCGGTAGGATTTATGGTTCTTATAAATAAACCATTTTGGTTTTGAAATAGTGCTGATTGTTTGAATGACATGGCCTACTTACACTCTGTGGTCATATGACTGGTATTTCTGTGGTGTATTACCCTCGTAATTTGTCAAGAATAGGGAAGCTATTGGAATTTTCAGGACTGTATCTTCTAATTACCTGTTTATGTCACATGTGAAGCCATTAACCAATGATTTTCCCAGTGGTTTGGTTTAGAGAGCTGTAATTTACCTTTTAAGCTGGCCTTTGTAACTATTATGCTGCTGTAGGGTTATTAATATATCAGGGTGTTTGAGATTCTTGTTTAAAATAGTCTACATATAGGCTCTGATAACAGATGGAGGGTTCTTAGACTGTCTGCATCTGAGTTCTATCAGGGAACCACCATCGTTAATCAACCCTCTTTTGTTGGTCAAGCATGGACTGGCTCAAGTTTGTTTGACCATTAGATATGAGTTGAGTGCTAAAATTAATAAATTCTGTTTTAGGTTTGAAGTGTTTGTGAACAGGACTGCAACTAATATCAGAGATGAGGATGGTTTTTATTTGTTTCAGTATTGATCACTAAAGGTTTATCTTCAATTATTTCTTATAGGGGAATACAGCTTTTTGATAACTGTTTCTCTTTTTTGTCCTCAATTCTGTAGTATAACTCGTTATTCAGAAGAGGGGAAGTTCATTCCATCCCTTCAGCCATTCAGGGGGCAGCATCCATGACATCTTCTGCATCACTGGACAACACTCTTTCAGACATCTACCGCCCTCCTCCAAGGCCCTTGCCATATGATGCTGACACCAGATATTTCTGCTTGCAGCGTGATGGTCTTGTTTCAAGACGTGAGAAGGGTTCAAGTCACTCACAAGAGGAAGTAGAACCTTTAAGAGGTAATAATGGTGTAGATCCTGAATCATTGAGCACAGGAGACAAATGGAATGGTTGTGAAGAAGAATCAAAAGAACAATATTCAAAATCCTCACAGAAGCTCTCATCAGCAAAATTAGCCCCTGGAATTGGGTATGTTTATTCAGCTTCAGAAGAAGAGGAAATCTGCCCAACATGCCTTGAAGGTAACTTCTTCAGCTGGTTTCAGTACCGTTGTTGGCCACTGACCCATCCAGTATTAAAATTTTTGTTACTCGAGGTCTTGTTTGTTTGCTGCATAAATGGTGACTGTCACCTTTTAGTGGCGTAATGCCCATGTTCATTGGGTAGAATGGTCATGTTAATATTGGGCCTTTGGTGGTCAGACACATGCATGTGGTTTTGTATTTTGTATTTACTTGTGTTTGATGGGCACTTGATCTACCATTAGATAATTTAGGTAATAAACTATTCTCACTTTTGGAGCGATGAAGAATAATTTACTGCCTTTTCTATATGAACTATGGACTTATTATAATGGGATCTGCCAGCCCATGAAGTTCAGAAGCAACCTGCAAAATCAATTATATTTACATTTAACTGTTTTCTTTTTTCCTCCCCCATTACAAGTTAGAACACATGGCAGAATTAGTTTCCATATAATTTCCTCCAAACTGCAAAAGTTCAACAAGGTCTAGCTGAATATGGCCAAGCTTCTTTAGAAACTGGAAAGAATCTGCATTTGTTGCATTTCACAGGATTTGTAATCAATCTACAAACTGATGCTACATTGCGTAGAAATTCCCATTTTTCTTGATTTATTGATGATATCCTAGATGCAATCTTAAAGTAGGAATTTTAGAATGAGTTAATTATTCATGCTTCTAATCTTATTTTTACCTTCCATATGCAGAATATACTCCAGAAAATCCCAAGATAATGACAAAATGCGGCCACCATTTCCACCTCGGTTGCATTTATGAATGGATGGAGAGAAGTGAACATTGCCCTGTTTGTGGAAAGGTAACCCTTTTTTATCCCTTACAGACCTGTTCTTATGCTGCATAATAATTAGAAATGGCATGGACTAACAGATTTGAGAGTTCAGACTGCTGGTCTCTCGTCTTTTTTGGAGTGTCTGTGTTTGTAGTTTCTATAGGACCCTCCACAAATAAAAAAAGAGTTAAGGATTCGTTCTTCTGCGATCTTCCTTTTAGTTATAAATTAAACGCATGGGTTAAATACTGCAATTCCATTTAGGAAGAATAAAAAGGAAAGAAAGAAAAAAACTTCACTTCCCTCACCAACATAGAAAGGAAAAACTAATAAATAAGAAGAGGAATCCTCTCACACAGTCCTTATTTGCTTCTCCAAAAAGTTCCCGAGATGGTAGAGTTTTTAGTCGAATTGTTTTCCAGATTTTCGACTTTGAAGATTATTTGTATTTTGTATCATATCACATTGTCTTCTACTTTGGCTTCTTTTAAATGCACTGGTAAATGGACCTTAACTGCTTAGACATTGAATGTTATAATGTAAATCTGTACTTGCAAAGCAATACCATATGAAAACAAGGAAGAAACTTTGAAGCTTGTGATTATCTATAGATTTCTTATCTTGACATGGATTTTTCTTTTTCTTTTCTTTTCTAGGTTATGGATTTCGATGAAACGACTTGATCTTTTCCCAAGAAAGGCCTGTGTCGTGGATGAAAACCAGTGACAGTCAAAGACAGAAAACCAAAAAAGATGTGTAGAGTGGTAGTACCCTGTGAATATTCCAGGTTAAAGTGTTTGACATTGTCAGTAAATATGAAAATTGTTGTCCATATAAAAATTATGGGTCCATTCCCTCTGTGATACCAGGAAACAGGGAAAATGATTTTATGCATGAGTGAAAATCTGACTATTGTGCTCCCTTTTGATTCCAAATTTGCAATGGAAAGAAAAGTGAATGTCATGGAGCTGTGTTCAAAGGCATATTTTTCATATTTTGCAATATTATCATGCTGGTTGATCCCTCATTAACTAAACAAAATTAATATTATCATATTATTTTAAATTTTAAATTTGCTTCAAATTAATTGTATATTTTTTTTTTTTTTTAAGATAAATAAATATTTTTTATAATTCTCTTATTATCTATTTAATTTAATTATTTATCTTATGTACCAAAAAAATTTTCAATTATTTATCCTAGTCTAAAAAGTTTAACTTTATCTTTCATTTATAATTTTTTTTTAAATAACATAAATAAATATATAAATTACAAAAAATTAAGAGAAAAGTGTGTATTATTTTGATTTTCCAAAATAATTGAAATTTAAGTTTTAAATTATATGGTTTTAATTAATTAAAATTTAATTTAAAATTTAAAAAATTATTTTATTAAACATTGATATTTAGATTTAAATCTGATTATATAAAAATATATAATAAAATTTTAAATCTAAATATTAATATGCAATAAGATGAAATTTTAATTTTTAAATATAAATTAAAATTTTAATTATTTTTTAAAAACTAAAATTTATAAGTACTAATCTAAAAATAATAATAATTATTTTAAAGTGTTATTTAAAGAAAATAAAATGTAATAGAAATTAAGAATTGTCAATTTTAAAGATTTTTCACCAGGCTGGGCGTTTGGGGTTAGGCCTAAGGTCACCAAGGTTTTTAACTACGAACAATCGCTTTCACGTACTTTCTCTCTCCTCAAGGAACTCACATTTCTTCGGCCACTTCAAGTCTCAACCTTTTCGGGCGAATTCAACACCCATTAAGCTTCCCTCTCAATTTCTCCGATCAAAGGTGATTTCTTTTCATTTTCTCGGCTTAATTCCCACGCAAAGTAACAGTAGAATTTGATTCCATGTATTGTTTCATTCAATTCGTTCTGAAATTCCATTTTTTCTTGTTACCAATTGTAATGTAGATGGAAATTGATGAAATTATTGGAGAACCATTATCCCGCCCTCTGAATCTTCCCACAAAGAGTGCAATCTATGTATGGGGATATAACCAGAGTGGGCAGACTGGTAGGAAGGGGGAAGAGCGCCAATTGCGGATACCAAAGCAGCTCCCTCCGGAGCTTTTTGGGTGCCCAGCTGGGTCTAATGCCCGTTGGTTGGATATTTCCTGTGGCCGGGAGCATACTGCTGCGGTCGCCTCGGATGGCTCGCTTTTCACTTGGGGTTTGTTAAATGAATAATACCTTTTGATTATTTTGTTAATTGTTGGGTTTGAAGATTTCATTTTTCTTGTACGTTTATATCTTTCTTGAATTTGAGTTATATTTTATATTATTGATAGGTAGAATTTGTTCATGACCTTAGTACTGGTGATTGATCATGGTGTTTTTGGGAAGCTTTTGTAGCAGAGGCAATTAAATATATGTAGATGTTAGTGTTGGTTTTCTCTGTTCCTTGCATGAATGCTTGTAAATTTATGCTCAGGTGCTAATGAGTTTGGTCAACTGGGAGATGGTACTGAGGAGGGTAGGAAGCACCCAAAGAAAGTAGATCAATTGCAGACAGAATTTGTGAAATCAGTTTCTTGTGGAGCACATTGCACAGCTGCCATTGCAGAACCTCGTGAAAATGATGGAACCATCTTAACAAGTAGACTGTGGGTTTGGGGACAGAATCAGGTGGTGTAATTCTACCTGTATATAGAAATAATCATCATTTTATTGTTTTAGATTTTTGACTGACTAATATGCACTCTTCATTTCAGGGATCCGATTTCCCACGTTTATTTTGGGGTGCTTTCACTCCAAACACGGTAAGCTATGGAATCTTTTCATTTTCTGTTGATTATATTAGTTGCTGGATGTACCTCTTCAGATTAGAGAATCCATGTTAAGAATTAATTATAAACAAGATTGTGTTTCTCATGCTAACCCATTTCCCTTCTTGATCTCATATGAATGATGTTCAAGTCCCTTCCCCTTCTTGTCAAAGGAAAACTAAAAGGGTTCTTCTTCTTCTTCTTCTTCTTCCTTTTTTTTTGTTTTTTTTTTTTGTGTTATCCCTTTTGGCCAGTTAAAATGGCTCCTTGTTTAGCATTTTTCATGTATCATTGTTCTCTGCTGCAGTGCAGTGTTTTCTTAGAGGAATTCCTACCACTTGCTTACTGTGTGAGTGCATTGTTTGCTGAGTTCCCTACTGTATGGATCAATCTGAATTGTAGATTTTGGTTGTGACAGATTATCCGCCAAGTATCCTGTGGAGCAGTTCATGTAGTAGCTTTATCTGAAGAAGGCCTATTACAATCTTGGGGTAAGTGTTTCTCTGATACAACTATTTTGTATTGCTTTAAATCAGTCTTTTAAGTAAAATATCTGAATATTATCATTAAATTTACCATCATATTTCATGCGTGTTTGTTATTGCTAATGATGTCTATGCTTATCTGCTTTATTTGACATGGAACTAGTTCTTTTAGTCCAATGGTTCATGTCTCAAGCTTAAGACCAACAAGTCCTGAGTTCAACTCAGGCTAGCAGCCCTGGCCTTATGGATAAGGATCTGCTGCTGTATGTGGTTGTACCACACCCCCCCCCCCCCCCCAAGGGGGCGGTGGTGTCCCCAAAATTCTCCATTTTGAAAAAAGAAAAAAAATGTTTTATTTGATATGTTTCCCTGGATCTAGGAAGGATACTGCTTTATTCATGCTACTTTCCTGCTAATCAGTGTTTATCACTTCCAGGTTACAATGAATATGGTCAGCTTGGCAGAGGCTTTACTTGTGAAGGGCTGCAGGGGGCTCATTTGATAACTGCTTTTGCAAGGTTCCTTGATGAACCTCCTGAGCTTGTGAGGATTGCTCAAGTGTCATGCGGGGAGTACCATACAGCAGCTATAACTGAAAAAGGCGAGGTGTAAGTTATCTGAAGGACTTGTTGCATGGAGATATGTTCTTTATTAAATCATGAAACTGTGGTTATCTGCATGACACAACTCTTTTGAAGGTTTGGAAAAAACTTATGGGAATCTCACACCTAGTCAGGAGACAGGATGCAACAGAAATGGGATGCATTCTTATGTGCAAGTCTCTGTTCCCTACCTTGGTTATATATAATGTTAAACTAAACTATAACTTTTGACGATGATTTTGTTACATGTTGCTTGTGTGTCCCAAGTTTTTCCTCTTCAGGATCAAGTTTCTTCCATGGCTATGGGTTTTTTTCTCTGCAAATCATGGTGAATTATGGTTTTATGATGCATGAATGGTCTCATATTAATTGCTGAGAATAGGATCTGACTTAATCATCAATTATGTTATGCCTGTAGATTGGTATTAAGTAGCAAATAGGCTAAGGTTTTGATTTGAGGTATCATACATATTGTTGATTGTTACAAAATGAGTATTTTGGCATAATACTGTTCTTGCTTTATGTGTTTAGGGTTTAGATTGTTTCAGCACGTGAAGCACCCTCTGACAGTAACATTATCTGTCCTGTATTTACTTACTGGTGTTACCTTGTAAATGGACAGTTGAAAAGTGAAGAAATTGATGTTATTTTTGGCTCTTCTGCACTCTGAACAAAAATTTCACCACTGATTGTAATCTTCTTAATTTCACCCTAACAGCTATACTTGGGGGCTAGGAAATATGGGCCAACTTGGACATTGTTCTGTTCAATCTGGGGACAAAGAGTTAATACCAAGGAGAGTGGTTGCACTTGATGGAACATTCATAAAGGATGTGGCCTGTGGTGGTGTGCATACTTGTGCTTTAACTTCAACAGGAGCTCTCTATGCTTGGGGTGGTGGTCAATCAGGGCAGTTGGGCCTTGGCCCCCAGACACATATTTTTTCAATCAATGCTAATGACTCTAGTGCATTCTTTCGTAATATCCCTGCTTTGGTCGTCCCAAATGGTGTGCAACTTGTAGCATGTGGGCACTGTCACACACTAATTTCCATGAGGGATGGAAGAATTCGTGGATGGGGCTACAATAGCTATGGTCAGGCGGCTAACAAGAAATCTACTTATGCCTGGGATCCATCACCAGTTGATTGGTAAGATATGTTCAAGTTTTAACTACCAGTAAACCAGTAGATTCTGCAAAAAATTTTGTGGCTTTTCATTTTCATGGAAGTATTGTTCTGCAGGTGTGTTGGGGAAGTGCGAAAAGTGGCGGCTGGTGGTGGCCATTCTGCAGTATTGACTGATGCATGTTCATTGAAAGAGTTATGCGAGTTCAAGCTGGCAAACAGTATAACCCCATTAAATGCTTCTGAGATTGAGGATATTGCAGTCAGGGCAGGTTCTGATTCTTTAGCACGCCTTTGTGAAAGATTGAGGTATTGATTCCTTTCCCTTTCATTTTTCTCATTTTGCCCAAAGCTCCATGATTTCTATATGGAAGTTCCATGCCGAAAGTTCCTCCCATCCATACAGGGAGCAGTTCATCAACAGCGGTGGTGAACATGATGATGAAGATGACATCATGAGTGGGAAGAATTGACTGTTACAACCTGAAGATGAAGATGTCAGGTCTACATTTCCAGTCATCACCTTCATTATCAATCTGTTAAGATTAATATCATGAACTATATTATTCACATGAAAACATACTGTAGATTTATATTGTTATCATGAATTCCACTTTGATAGCCTAGAGGACATATTTGGTTAGGACAGTCATCAAAACAAGCCACGTTGCTTGTGATGAAAAACTCGAATTTAATTAATGACAATTCAAAATAAATTGAACTCAGTCTTTGCATGTCAGTTAATTCTCCGTCCTGGTAGCTTCCCCGTTCCACCTTTTACGTTCATGCGACGCAAAGTTGTGCCATTTGGTTTGCACTTATTGCAGAAGTTCTTTTAAAGAAACATTCGCCAGGGGAAGAAGTGCATGCATAGGAAATGGGGGGAACTGGGCTCGAACACGAACAGGCGAAGCAGAAGGGGAACTGGGCGTGAACACGAGCTCAGGGGTGCAGGCCACCCTCTTGCGTTTATGCCTTTGTCTTCCCTGGCTTACTGCACTATCCCTCACCATAATAAATTTAAAATTTTTAATCCCATACTTTTTATTATAAAGTTTTTCATTTTTAAATTTAAAAATTTAAAGGTTTTAATCGTTAGACTAATATAATCTATAACTTTTGTTAAAATGAGAATGAAATATTTATAAGATAAATTTTTAAAAATTAAAAATATAATAATTTAATTTTAAAATTTTAAAAATTAAAAAATTAGTAAATTAAAAAGAATTAATAAATAATTTTTTTATATATATTAAAACAATATTAAATATCTATAATAAATCAAGTAATTAATTCAATTTAAAAAAATTTAATTGAAATTAAAATTTTTTTAATTGAATTAAGATGAAGTTTAAAAAATTATGAAAATATGATTAAAAATTTTTCTTTAATCCAAATCAAAATTTCTTACTTCAAATTAAAATAATCGCTCAATTTAACTATTAACATCTAATATTATTCTTATATATGTAATAAAGTCATTTATTAATTATTTAAAATTTTTAAAATTAAATCATTATATTTTTAATTTTTGAAGATTGATTTGGTAAGAATTAATGTAGTTAACAAATTCCATCAGCTTATGAACTATAATCTTCAAACCTTTTAACTTCAACAACTAAAAATTTGATAGAATAAGATACAAAACTAAAACTTCAAATTTATTATGACGAGGGGCTAAATGCATTTTAGCTGCGTTCTTTTCTACCCATCCAATTCCGACGAGAAGATTTTTTTTTTTGATGAAGAGCAGAAGAGATATTTAAGAGTTGGAATATTTCACATTAATACAGTTTCTTCATTACATAAACTATATATGGATAAAGCAATATTTTGCTGGAGAATTTGAAATCTTCACAAATCATAATATTTATGAAGCCTGGATGTTCTTCGAAATTCCCTCTCTAGCCATTCAAATGGCGTAGCATCCATGCAGGCATCAGCGAGTTACTCGGCCTGGACGTACCTTCTGCCCCTTCACTTACTTGGAATCTCCCCCTGCATCATTAAATTTTCATCGATATTGCTTCAACATTTATCATATTTAGAGAAAGTAAGAAGCAAGGAAAGTATATACCCAATGGTTAGTGAAGGAAATGACAATGTTGCCGTTCGTGGTGGTAGTGGTAGTGGTAGCGGTAGCGGTGGTGGTTGAATGAACTGCGACGATGAGCTTTGGCCAACGTGTTGCAGCTGAGGTTGTGGTGGTTTCTCAGCCACCGTCTTATCATTTTCCTTGAGCTGTATTTTAATCTGCGTTAGAAGCTTGGATGAAAGTAAGATAAGAAGGAAATAACACAAGATATATATGTGCATGCCTCCTCAACAATTTTCTCATCTTCTATAATACACACCTTCTTTGATAAGGTATCATTCTGTTCCCGCAGCAACTTCTCCTGCCACATTCTTCAACGTCAGAAACTTTGCAGAATTTTGTAACATGTAAATCTTTTGTTGTTTTTTTGGTAACAAGAGAGAATTTATTAAGCAATTAAGCAAATTAAACCGCAGCAACAGTTCTTGAAACTACTGTTCCAATGCAGTCACAAATTAACAAAAGGGAGAGCTCAGAGGGACTCTTATTCATGACAACATAATCCATAAGCGAGATGGATCCTAACTTGGCCAGAAAATCTGCTGCTGTAATTTGCTTCTCGGTAAATCTTTTGTTGTTAACAATGCACAGATTTGAACAATATTTGTATGTAATTAATTCCATAATCTTGTCTCCCCTTGCTCAAAAGTGCATTTATCCAACAAAAACACACTTTAAAAAAAAAAAAAGCAAAGAAAATGTCATTAATAATTGGAGTACAGGAGATACTTCTATCCATATACACAACATATTAAACAAAAACAAACTAATAATTGCTAAACATAAGACTTGTAAACTTGGAAATCTGGTGTTTAAATCCACAATTCGGTGTTTTAAGATTTCATAAAGAGCCAAAGATATGGTTTGCATTGCACTCATCAAGGGAGGGGTGGGAGGTGATATGGTTTGCACTCATATGGACAATTTGGTTAGCTTGAAATGGGAAAGTCTTCAACAGTGAGGCAGCGGATACGGGCTAGCTATTCCAATTGATTCAAGCCAGATCGTTCATATAGCTCAAGGATAGAAAAAGAGGACACAAATTTTTCCTTTCAGACTGGTTGCAGGATCCTATTTCTAGCATCAGGAATGGTTAGTGGATTTTTCTGAATTGCATATTTTATGTATGTTTTTCAGGAGGAATCTGTCCACCCTGTTTGATGTCATGGGTGTGAGTACCCTTGTACTCAATAATAGTAAAATTTTTGCTGTCTAAAAAAAATAAATAAAGAGCAAGCCAAAGATTATCCTCTGTTATATATGATTCATCAACAACCATATATACAGGATAATCAAAGAAAAAAAAAGGGACAATAATTGATAAACTCTCTAGTTTAACATATCATACAACATATTTATTAAAAAATTATTATTTTTAAATTTGAATTAAAGACGAAAAAACTAAAAGTCATAGATTTTAATGGCTAAACCTATAGATGTTGAGGAATGTGTTGAACTGAATGATATACCAATCATTTTCCCAAAAAAATACCAGCAACATATACAGAGAAGGAAAAAATAATTAATGTGATGGAAATTAAAAAAACACAAACACACACAGAGAGAGATGAAATATCTTACCTTTTTCTGCAGCTCTGAGATGGATTCATGCATAAGCTGATTCTGCAAAATGCAATGTTAACTTCAATATAATGAACAAACATATGAATTCAATGCAATATGTATCTGAAAGAATTGACTAATTAATTTGGATAAATTGACCTTTCTGGATCGAATGCGCTTAAGAGCAGTGTCAATCTGCTGCTCCAAATGTTGGAGCTCTCTGAGACTCAAGGGAGCAAGCTCTTCTCCTACAAAGTGCTTTACGTTCTTTTGTAAAGCTTCAATCCTTGACTTCAACTTGGGAAATTCCAAGGACCAGTTTGTCTATACAGAATTAATCAACATATTAATTAGACTAAACAAGTTTTTCAAATCCATTCTTTTATAAGCAGAGTGCTTTTTAGCCAAACTTCTAAAAAATTAAGAGAAAAAATAACTTTAAAATTACATTATTTCAATAAACTACCATAAAAAAAAAAAACAATCTAATTCTAGCTTTAAAAAGAAGTTATTTTAATATTTTTCAAGAAGAATTTATTAAAACAAAATAGCTTTTGACTATTTTTCCTCTTAATTTTTAAAATTTTAGTTAATTAACAAATTTTTCATATCATCCACAGATTAAACTAGAGGCACATCTAAAAATCATGCCCCAATTTATCGTAATTGTTGCTGGCTCTTATGTTTTCTTTTGATTTGTTGTTGAAAAAAAAAAACAACAGTGACACAGATTAAACAAATTCTTGTCATCACAATAAACATGTCTTTTTTTTTTTTTAATCAGCAAAACGAATTTTATTTAAATGAAGCACAAGCGGAACCATACACTAAATTGTATTATTATCAAGATTCTTGAATTTTTGAAAATAACACGAAAACTTCTTTGAAAAAATTTAAAGTGCTCGTGAGGAAACTTAATTCTAAATTCATGTAAAGAGGCTTTTGAATTTCCAATTATGGAACCAGGGACGGGGCCAGCGTACAATTAAAGGGAAGCCACCCCTAAACTTTTGAAAATGGTCAAATATAGTGCATATATTTTTGTTTTCCACAATTTTATTCTTGAAGTTTGAATTATGGGATCATTCAAAAATAAGGAATATATTTGGGATTTAGGTGATGATCATTTCTTTATTTATGACTAAGTTCTAGATCTATTGATGTAACTTGTATAAGTTTTTGCATTAATTTAAAATTTAGTGTGGAGGGAACTAGTATAAATTATACCATATAACACAAATTTTAAAATTTAGCCTCCCTTAACTTAGGTTGTATTTGGAATTATTGTGAAGTGCTATTAGATTTTTAGTATTCTACTATGAGAAAAATTATATTATTGTTTGATAATTGTTTTAAAAAAGTCATATACATTAATATGACCATAAAATTATATAAAATATCAATTTAATTTAATTTAATCATTATAAATTAACACTTTTATAAGGTATTATGAGAAAAACGCTATAGAAAAGCAACCCCAAGCGCGTTGTTAAATTTATTATGGCTCCATCCCTATATGGACCCCTATACCGTTCTTCAAAGACATCTACTAAAAAAATTCATTGATTCTGCGATGATATAAACATGTATGAAAATAAAACATATGCAGCGGAACAGCAAAGATGTAAGAACAAATCTTGGACAAGAATTTGCAACATTATATAAACTATAAACACATCTTAAGTGAAAATATTTGCTTGAATTGGCATGGTACCTGTGATTCAGAATCATTAGGGAGAAGTTGCCTTTCTGCATATGCATTTCGTTCATATCGTTCCAAGATCCTCTCCATGCTGTGAAGAAAAGGATAAAAGTGATTAAAATTTTAGACAATAAATAAATAAGTCAACATGCATGAGCTGCAAATTTAATTTCGTAATTAATGTGTTCCAAATTATGTTAGAAATTTCATTTTGTCCTATTGAAAAAAAAAGAGAAAGAATTATAGCAGTTTCTAGTGGAAAGCATTGACTATATATGTACATTTATATTTACTAAATATAATAACCAAACAAAAGAGAGAGAGAGAGAGAAATTTATAATTAGCATCATCATCAAGAGATCAAAACTACATGAACACATTCATTTCTATGGAAATTATGCAAAATATATAAAGCAGTGAGACAACTATTTATGAGCAACCACTAATAATAACTGATGAATATTAATAACTAAGTTAGATGCTAAAATAATTTTTTATGTGTGAAAATTGTGTATATGGACTCAATACAAAACTTATATCCAAACTAAAACTAATTGGCAGTAGATGGAGTAATCTCGTTTATATTTAACGCACAAGTTCCTTCATCATATTCATTATATATTTGATGTGGGATTTTTCCACTTAACATTATGGAAAACAGAAGAATTGAGAAACTACAAGGGAAAATATATCCAAATTAAGGATGTCTACAGTCCAATCCTATTAAGATCCTTCTAGATGAATGATAAATCTGACATATATGAACTGGAGAAAGAGGCTGTTGGGTTTGTGTCTTGAATTTTATGAGACTTGATGCCGACACTATCAAGAGAGAGATGCAGATACCTTTTTGGATGCGGGTAGCAACAAAGAAGTGTCTGAAGTGAAAGTACGGACACTATTTGTGACAGGTGCTGATGTTTTCAGGGTTGACCCACTTTCATGGGCAGTAGGTATATATGTGAATCTCTGACAGCAAGTTAATAGACATATTTGTAAACCAAACATCCCAAACCTAAATCTCTCATAAATGTGTGATTAAAAAACCCGAGAACAGTAATTAGTAAGAGTTAAGAAAATAGCTACAGAGATTAACATTGTGAGAGATCAAAAGACAGTCTTGAGGAGAATTGGAAAGCTGAGCTTCATTAAGAGATTGCTACCAAACTATTGTACTCTTTTCTTACTAGTAAGTTTGATTTCTCTCTTTTTCATAGACCTAAAGCTTGTTGTGAGTGTGAAAATTGAATCTATGTGCTTCAGCAGAAAGGATTGCATTTAATCCAAAATTAATTGATAATAAGTGGAGTAACTTTTTTTATATTTAAATTATATGTTTTTTGGTTATGTTTTTTGGTTATAGCTTCAATGTAGGATTTTCACACTCAACAGTAAGAAAAACACGTTAAATCTTGTTATATTGTTTTTGTTTTTATTTCATTTCCATGAGATTGTGGCTTTTAAAAATACCAACAAAGGAACAATAATCCAAAGTTTTTTCTTCCCATCACCATAGGAATATGACATTCTACGGATCAAAGACTTCACAAAATATAAAATTTTCTTAGTTTTGAGAGAAATCATCTAGAAAGATCAAATTCTATTGTTCTTTAATTAGACTTTTATGACTTCTTTGGGGATGTTTTGTTTGTATAGCAGCTCAACAGTTTCCCAAATGCAAATTTAATGTTACAAAGGTGTAATTGTTCTCTTGCTAGTCATATCAATATTGAAATTCCTAATTTGATCCTCAAAATGTTTGAAAAACCTAACAACAATTAACCCTTTAGCTTTTCTACTGATTGAGACTAGTAATATAATGTACAACTTAGATCTTGAGTGGTTGAGTGCAAATAGGGAGGGATGGCGTGAGTCTTACAGATTGGTTGTTGGAGCCAAAGGAGTGTATGAAACAAAGGGGCAAACCAAATGCAGTGTAGGAGAAATACCATAATTGGCAAAACTCCAATACATTAGAGATGTAGAATAATGCAATAATTTTTTTTTTTAACAGCAAAAAGTTTTATTATTATTTCTTTTGAGTTATCATAATGCACTAATTTCTAGTGCTAGAACTTAGTATAGAATGTCCATAATTTATAAATAGTTTTGAGGGATGACTTATTTTACAATGCTCAGTGCTGGAAAATAATTTGGTGCTGTGATTTAGTCTGGCACTTTATTAAGCCCTGGAACATAATTTTTTGTATTGTTGTTAACTAAGGAAAATTAAAAACAAAAAATATGTATATACTTTTCCATTTTTTTCCAGCGCAAAATGCTAAAAAATGTCAAGAATAGTAAAAATCAAGTGGTAGAAATGGTCCAAGGTAATTTTCTAGCCTTGCGTTCTAGAAATCAATCCTGGAAAAATGACGAGAATTATTTTCTAACACTTAGCGTTGGAAAATAATTTTATTAGAAGTTTAAAGCCAAATATTTAATTGCTTTTTTTTTTTTAAAATTTTTCAAAATCCCACCTATGTTATTTTCCAGCACCTAGCATTGGAAAATAATCTTATCATAAGTTGTGGACAAAATATTCAAGTGTCTTTCCTTCTTTAAAATTTTGCAAAATTCTACCTATTTTATCATAAGTTTGGAGCCTAACACTTAAGCGCCCTTTTTCCTTGAAGAATTTCCAAAATCCCTCCCATATTATTTTCTAGCACTAAATAGTGGAAAATAATATTTATTTATAAAAACCTTCAAACTTCCTTTTCCTCACCATTCTCTCCCATTCTCTTCTTTCTTCTTTTTCAGTTTTCTCTTCCCTTATCCAAATTCACTTTATATTTTCTCCTCCCTTCACTCCACTCATTTTTTTCACTCTCATCTTAATCTTCCTTTTCCTCTCCTCTCCATTTTCTCTTCCTCTTCCTTTTCCATTTATATATTTCATGTGTTTATGAATTACATGGCATTGGGGTAGATTTACATATTTAATTTCATTTATTTGGAAATATTTATTTATTTTATAGAAAATAGAGATTGCATTAAAATAAATGAAGTTAGGATTACATATGAATCTCTATACCATAATATGTATAACCAAAGTAGAAACATATCCTACAGCGCTAGATACAAACTTAAACGATACTCATAACTGCTATAAACAATTAGGTATAAAAAGCCATTTGCCCTAGCGATTACAATAGTAATCGCTATAGGGACATCAAAAGTAGGGAGAAAGTCACTCCTAGCATCTTGAGCTACTAGACATTCTCAACTATTATGCTAGCTTCTTGGGAAGAGCAAGTACTTGAACTAACAATTGTCTCCATCTATGAATAGCCCTACCATATCAAGTCGCAATAACCATATGCCTTAAGATCCAATCACAAGAGAAGCAGTCGAGAAAGAGAGAGAAGGAGGGGGGGATGTTTCACGAGAAGAAGAGAGCCAAGAAAAGAGGCTTGTCACACAGTTAAGTTTTTTCCTACCATGCACAAGAGAAAGTAAGAGGAGGAGGAGAAGGAGGGGCGAGGCAAAAATAGTGGCATTTTGCCGCCGTTCCCCTAACTTCCACACACTAGGGGCTAGGTTTTTTTTAGGAGAGGGAGGAATAGCACTAGGGTTTTTTGTAGGTTGATTTAGAAGAGATTTTGGCAATTTTTATTAAATTATATGTATTAAGTAATGTTTTATACATGATTGTGTTTATAAAGTAAATTTGTTAAATATAATAGTAAGCAATGGAATTTCTCCATTCAAATCTCAAGCTTACATTTGTCATTAATTTTAAAACAAATATAAATAGTAGAATAATTAAAAATCTATAAATCCTTTGATCTCAAGTGGAAATTTTCAAATTAACTAGTCTCAAATCTAAAATATTTAAGCATCAAGCGCTGGAAAATAAGTATATTCCATCACTTTTTGACTATTTTCTAGCGCATTTAGCATTTTTTTATAGTAGTGACGATATATATGTACAAAATGAAAAGTTAATTAGTCCATATTCGTAATAAGCAACCTCCCTTACTTGATACAAACAACTCTTTATGATCATAATTTAGTCTATACATATCATGCACCTGCTCAAAACATGTTTTCTAAACATTAGATCATGAGATATATACATCTGTGTATATTTCATAGGCTATGAACATACACGAAGGTGTATATATATATATATATATATCTAATCAATGAATCCTAGTAACACAGCTACTCAATGACTCACGCTCTTACATCATTAACTTCAATCTCAGCAGAGAATAAACTTATTCTCTAGAATTCGATTACCTACCTACGAAAAATTTCACTTCTCTTTCGTGAAATAATGTGTACCATATATATTATCCTCACTAATTAAGTTAAAGTAGAGCTAAGTATTCATGAATGCTAGCTTCATAGAGTTTGAAAGAGTCGAGCTCAATTGATAAACTTACTGAGTTCAAGATCAAGCTTGAACTAGATTCATAAATGAGATTGAATAGCCGTCGAGTTTATTCTAAAATTATCTGGTAATATATTGATTGCGGGCTTTATCAATTTCAAAGTTCAATCAAACTCAAGTTGAGCATGATCGAGAAGCTTAGCTCACTAATAGCTGAAACAGTTCAATGTGTAATAACTTTTAAGACAAACACCAAAACAAACTACTAATCTTGTAATATCACTTCAACTATTAAATGCAAAAAAATAAAAAGTGTTGTGCATTTCAAACTACGGTCTAACACACAACTTAAACCATCAGTGAAGCGGCACAAGCTCTCTGTTATTGAGAGTTGTCCCACCATCTAATAATTTTTGTTTTACAACTCAAATATAATTCATATTGCAAAATAGGATACTCTAATGACAATATGGCTGAGACTACACTGAAAATTTTCTTTAAATAATGTAATTGAGAAGAGGCTAAAGTGGAAGATCTTTATTGAAATCATAAGTGTATTATAACAACCTCTCTCATTATTGGTTTTTGTCCCTCTTTCCATTTGCACCCACTTTGGATAACTATTGCTACTCCACTATCACTAGGGATTAAAGCACTAAGAACCTAATACATTCCAACATCCTATTCCTAGGTTATAAACCAGATGCAAAAACGTGGGACAAGAAATCAAGGCAAATACACCACCAAGCCCCATATCTGACACAGTGCTCTATAACATTTGGCAGGCAGACATGTTAAACAATGCTTCTATTTCAACACTACTCCAAATATATTAAAATCAACCCTATTATTATTACTTCCATGCCTTAACTTCTCAAAGATTTCCCCAAAACAACAGAAGGAAAACCAGAAAGAGTAAAATATAGGAAAACAGTTCACTTAAACAACAAAAAGATAATCAGAAACAGTAACATATGAAAACTGTTACATATATGGATCAGTAGTTTATGTATTACTTCCTAGCTAGCATTTCGATCAGACAAATCATCTCTACAACTAGCTGTCAGTCCTAAAATCTTCATAGTGAAATTTTACTAACAATAAACCATATATATAATAGTTAATATTAGTACTTAAAGTACATTATATATAAGACATGGGGAAAAAATAACATGATAGCTTTATTTTTTCAAGTACAGCCACATAGATCGTACTCTTTCTTTTTTTTGCTAAGAGCAAAGCAATACACTATTGAATAGAGTACATGAACTTCAACTCTTTCATTGGTTTTTTGACCTGCACACAGATCGTACCTACTCTATTTTTGTTTTTTATTTCGATGAAAACCTAGCTACTCTATTTTCGTGAAAAAAGTAGAGAAGAAATCTCTTGAAGATACTAAACAGAAAACAGAAGATTTTGCTGAGGTTGATCCCCCCCTCCCCCCAAAAAGAAAAAAAAAAAGATTTCTATGCGAAAAAAGAAAACATGGAATTAATTAAGCAGGAGATTATAGTGTAAATGCAAAAGAAAAAAGAAGGTGAGAAAAAAGAAAACATAAAAAGTAAGAGATTAGAGTGTAATGCTGCAGGTGATGAGCAGTAGTATGGTGAGAATTGTGAGAATATTTTCTCAAAGATCAACAGAAACATGCAGAAAGGATGATTTGAGTGAGAATTGTGAAAACCTGGAGTCAGTAGAGTACTCAAAGAGCTTCCCTTTGTTGGAGAAGACAATCAAAGCGACCTCGGCATCGCAAAGAACCGAGATCTCATGAGCTTTCTTCAGCAACCCAGTACGCCGCTTCGAAAACGTTACTTGCCTGCTAATCTTGTTCTCGATCCGCCGCAGTTGAACCCTACCTCTCCCCATTTTTCTCTCTTTCTTTCTCCTGCAAAATTTTCTCACCGGACACACAAACTCAAGAAAGTAGAATAATACCCTAGTCCATACTTTTTAAGCGTAAATAGAGAGAGACCATGAGAGGTGATACAAAAATAGAAATTACGGGTGGGTTTCTATTTTTGTGATGAAATGTTTTTGGGTTGCTGTAACTGAGCAAAAGGTAAGAGTTGATATATGGGGAAATAAAAAGGTAAATTTATATATTGTTGGGAAAGAAATTTATTTGTTTTAGGAAATTATTTTTATTTTTTAATTTTATTTTCTTGCCTTAGTTTCCAGCTGGAAGTAAGTGGTTTTCTCAAACCTGGCTGGTTTAGGGGACTGTGTGCTGTCGAAAGGGTATTGGAGGACAAAGAGGACAATCGTTGGTGTCTCGTTTTGAGCCTCAGGATTTTTTGGAGGGGGGAACACTTCGTACATCATCTGGTCACCCCCATGACATGACTGACGAGTTAGGTACTGTTGATGAAGATAACGTTTTCTTCTTTTTCTTTTTTTTTTTCTGTTTTGGTTTTATGTGTCTACTGTGTACTGTCTAGGTATTCCTCCCAAGACTATTTTATTCATATTTCGAAAACTAAAACCACTTTTTATTAATAAATAAATTGATGAAAGGCATGGTGTATACATTAAAATTAATAAATATATTAAAAATGATTTTTTAATTATTTTTA